AGTTGCAGTTCGGTTGCGAGCACTTGCTCATCAACCTAATTCACTTTTCTATTAACTCATGCCACAGACTCTGAGCAGTACCGAAATAGCAGTAATTTAATCCTTGCTGATCAGGACAGGGAAATGAAGTGGTCGCATAGACAAAAAGCACTTGAAACAACAGTAGTTGAACAAGTCATGCAGTCAAACTGAATATAAAATTGACATCTCTGCCGGTAAGACATTTCATTCTCCCTTCACTACTGCTGCAGTTTATGGTTGTATACTGCTCCTACCAATACTACATGTTCCTGCAAGCTTCCTAGAGTCATGTGAGATCTCCCAGGATTTTGAACAGAGGTTTAGTGATGCCATCTTGGCAGAGTAGACCCTTTTACTGCACATGGTGATTCTACTGGTGAAATATTTTATATATTAAGCACAATTTTCTTTTCCAGTATGGAGTCTAACATAGCAATTTACTCAAGAGATCACAGGAAAAAAAATGTTCTCTATGTTAAAGATGACTATATATGGTATGATATTCAATCTCCAGAAAAGTGTAGACTTTTACATAAAAACAGAAGTGCTTTAATAAACAAACCTACTTGGCCTTTGCAATTTTCACTAAGCATTTCTCTGAATCAAAATGTGGAATGACTATCATGTGATTTTTAGAAAACTGGTATAGCATACACATGATTTAATAACTGAGATCTGTTTAAAACACAAAATCTAGTGACCTTTATTTGAGATATTTTACTGAAATGGAACAGTTACTGCTGGAGTACAAAGACGTTTCTTGTCCTTCTAAATTAAATAACAGTTGCATAAATCTTTGCAGGCAAAATTTACCACTTTTATTCTATCACACCCAGTCCCTTGCACTCTTCAGTGAAGTATAACAAAAGAACCAAAAAAAGTTTTCAGTGTTTATGCAGGTAAATATGAATAGTCACATAGGAGTGGAGGGGAAAAAATTTTCTGAAACATGAGTGGATATAAGGAGCATTTGGTGGAAATAACACACTTTCCTTACTCTGACCTCCAATTGTTCACTGCTAGAGGCAAGATCTTTGGCAGGACCTGCTGATGCTGCACTTATGCCAAAGAGGGAAGGAAGAAGTGATAAGCACAACTGGATTTCCCTTATATTTTCTCATGACTTGCTAAGCAAAAATTCAAGAACAAATTTTGATACCTGATTAAAGTTGTGAACTTACAAATTTAATATACTTCTTTTGAAGATTTATGCCAATTCACTTGCTTAGGACCATATCCCAAACTGAGGGACAGCAATGGTGCTGTTTATAAGCCCATGTGTAAAAGGTGCTTTGAACATAATCATACTATCCTATGGGGACGTCCCTGTGTGGGCAAAAATAAGAGAGAAAATTCCACAATGGTTTATTCCTGGAGGGTTTTCTCCCATTCATTACAGTAAGAAAGCAGATTTTAGGGCCAGGTTGCCACATTTTGCCCCTCAACACTGAGTTCCTATTCTCAAAAAAAAAAAAAATATTTCCAAAGAAAGTGGCAGGAAGGCAGGGAACAGAGCAAGGGAGTGGAGAAATGTTTCTCCTCTGCTAGAGTTCACCAACATGGGAAGCCTAGGACAGCAAAAAAAAACCCAATAGCAACAATAAACCTCCCCCCCGCAACACACATAGACACACACAAAAGCAAACAAACAATCGACTATAAAAACACACAGAGCAGTGTACGAGCTCTACTGAAAATGCAGCCGAAGGCTTAGAGTCCTCTCTGTGCACTGTGTTCCCTCAATTTATAATGAAATACATCTTTCTTTCTCATTCCTTTTCCTTGGGCAAAAGCAGCAGTGACAGTAATGAGCACATGAGATGCTGCTGCACCAGGCAGAATTCCTTTAAATTCCTATAGGAAAGGTCTAAGTGCAACGTCCAAATCAAGGTGCAAGAATCTAACTACGCTCGTAGAAGTAACCCCAGAGTAATGGCACCCATTACCACCAGCACATCGGTAATAGGAAATAACAATTGTACTGTGGACCTATGCAATACTTTTTTCACTTTCCATGGTAAAGACAATTCTACTGCGTGATCTTTATGTCTGCTTGATTTGCATTGCGGGAATTTTCAATCGGCACATTGTTTGGCTGAATTGTTTAACACTATGGAAAATCAGTACAAGCTGCCTCCCCAATTTAGTGGTAAGTTAGCACCCATCTCCAGATATGTGAATTTCTCTTGAAGGTACAAGGAATTAGGTAAATGGACCTATTGTATCTATAGCTCATACTACTGGTGTGTGGTATTCCACAGCATTACACTGAAAGGCATTTCTTCTAAGCTGTGTAGTTTGCAGAGATTACTCTCCATCTTTGATTTTTTTTTAACTATCCAATCAGCATACTAACTGATTTCACTCATCTTTATAAATAGCATTTGTCTTTCTATTGCCACTCAAAAATAATTTACACTAGGCAGAGAGATTACAGACCTTGATTTTATATGAAATGTCTTTGAGTCACAGTGAGCAAAATGACTCACTTCCATCATGACTGTTAAGTAAAATGACTCTGAGATATCAAAATTATCTGTTCTGTCTAGTACTCCTTTTCTATTGAATTATTTTCCTTAGCAGTTTGACTACTGATGAGCAACGATTCAGGGCAAAATTCCAAATTTGCCCCCATTGTTTTTCAGACCAGTCTTTCAGTATCACATCGCCCAGCGGTAGCACTTCTTAAGGGCAGTATTTTGCTTTGGATAGCTGTTGCATTCTGATTCAGAGTCCAGTCAACAACATCAATATAAGCTCCCACCGAGAAAGAAAAGGGCTGGCTGCTTTGCACAAAAGCTCATTCTCACAGATGAGGAGAAAGCTTGTCTGACTAATTTAAAGAAATGCAACATCTAGGAAGTAATCTATACGGTACAGTGACAGATGGTCAGCTTTGGGCTTAGTTTTGCACTCCCCAGTAGAAAAAAAACATTGATATACTGGAGTGAGTCCACTGAAGGGCCACGCAGGTGATTAAGGGCTTGGAGCTTCAGACATATGAGGGAAGGCTGAGATAGCTAGGACTATTCAGCCTGGAGAAGAGAAGGCTCAGGGGAGATCTTAGTAGTGCATATAAATATCTGACAGGGGGAATAAAGAAGACTGAGCCAGACTCTTCTCAGTGGTGCCCAGTGACAGGACAAGAGGAAACAGGCGTTAACTGAAATACAGGAGATTCCATTTAAACGTAAGTTGTTGTTGTTGTTTTTACTGTAAGGGTGGCTGAACACTTTAACAGGTTGCTCAGAGAGGTTGTGGGGTCCTCAACAGGACACAGTTCTGAGCAACCTGCTTTAGCTGACCCTGCTTTGAGCAGAGAGGTTGGACTAGGTGATCTCTAAAGGTGCTTTCCACCCTCAACTATTCTGTGATTCTGGCAGGAGTCAATCTGCTTGCACCTGCTGACAGACCATTTCTAGAACCTGTTAGAGGTATGCTAAAAGGGCCCCTTTTCTCTGAGCCAACAAGAGTTTTGCTTTAATAATGGAACAGAGTTATAGTTAATGTGCTTCCTGTGTCCTTGTTTGGCACCCGTGTTTGCACTATACTGACTGTAAGCCTAAATATCCACAGTGAGGATCATTAACCTGCAGCCCACAGAAGGAGGAAACATTTGCTTCTTTAAGCGCTATGTTAGCAAGCAAAGAAAAGAAGAACATTGCACATCAATGTTAGTGTGCAAGAGAGTGTGCATCCTTCAATTTTAAGGTAACTAAAAGCTACTAACAGTAAAACAGATGATGGAATTGTGTATGAAACAGCAGATCCATTTGTATGAAACAGCAGATCAGTTTAATGCAATAACTCTATTAGCAACTTTAATCATGTATGTGTCAAAAATGAAGATTAATCCTCCAAATGGAAGAAAAAGAGCATGCTGATTTCTGATTCATCAAGCTACAAATAAATTCTCTCTCTTAGGAAACAAAGTAACATGAGAAGTGTCAAATGTATGGGAAGAACAGTAGGAACTTCACATGCAGAGTACCATAGCAAAAACTGATTGAAAAGAAGTCTTGCTAGAATACCTCTATAATTTTATTGTTATATCTCTTTGACATTTTTTTTCCTCAAGTCACTCTAGAAATCCTTGCCACCTGTCACTGATTATGAATGTTATGTTTTAGCAATGATGACCCAAAAAAAAAAAAAAAGGTGCAACTTACTCGAGTGCTGGCTTTCCCTTGTAAGGACAGACTTTATATTTGAAATCCCAACCAAAATGATGGAGTCTGAGCAGAGTCTGGAGCAACATCTGATGTTCACGCATTTCAAAAGCTGTACCGGTGGGCCACATCTGTGAGACTAGACCCATTTTCTCTCATGCACTAAACCTGGTAGAGTAGAACAACCTCCTTTGCCCCTTTCCAACCTAGGAGCAGAGACCAGAAATGTCAGACACCCTCTCACCAATGAATATTGGCTAGTGCTGTTGACAAGGTAAAGGAGGCCAGGCTAAGTAGATGCACTGGCCCGTTTTCATCTCTACAAGGTGCTTTCACTGTCATTTAGACAAAGCTGCTCCCTGGCCCATTTCCTAGAAGTGAGGGAAACAAGTCACCACGCGAGTGCAAAAGAAAATACAGAAACTGATAGCAAAGCATTTGCTTTTCAAAATAAAGATTGCCTCTAACTGGCTAGTGCCCAGAGATTTTATGCCCTTGTACAGCTTCACACCGTTCTTGTGGTTCTTTCAAAACAGATATTTTCCTTCCAAATAAGAAGGCTTACTGGGTAGCCAATGGTATTGCCTTTGCTTTCTCAGAAACTATTCTAAAGATACATCCAATGTCCATGCTGTTACCCTATCATAAGTGCAAATCTATCCATCAGTCCCTCCTTCCTAATGAATAAGTTGCGTTACATTTAGGGGGAAAAATATGACTAAGTAGTAATCTTGGAACATTTATTACAAATTCATACCTTTCATTAACCTAGAATATTTTGTACCTGCAGACTTCTCCTAGGCAACGTACCTGCTTTTCTGATGCGGAAGGTGGGAGAATGGTGTCCCTGTTTCTTGTGAGAAAGTACTAGCTTTTCATGCTGCTGTGGTATGGATGTGGTTTGTAAGCAAGGACATAAAGAATGATCCAGTTTGTCAAAGTGCAGCTGGAGCAGCATGTTCTCTTTCTTATATTTTACAACAAAATATCCAAATAAGTCATACTGATGATGCAGAGAAAGTGGAGTTTGGTTTACATCAAAGGAATTTATGAAAGTTAATGCATATCAAAAATAAAAAGGCATCTGAGTCACCACACAAAAGCTATTTTTGAACTTACATAATCAAATATACTTACGTACAATATAGAGAGACTGTGCCAGCTATGGCATGCATATCTCTCTGCTGTAATTAATCTTTGGAAGCACTTTCAGTCATTTTATATCTACATTTACTTTTACCTCACACAGTTGTGGTGTTATCTCAGTTTTCACCATCTGTCACACACATTAGAAACACTGACTTAAATCAAAGACTATAAAAAATAATTTTTAAAGCATTATTTTTTTGTATTTTACATTTTCTGTAAGTATGCACATATAATTAAGACAAAAAGCACCATGTTATTTAATGAAAACTGAAAGATATCAGCAAAGAAACTCCAGCTTTTCTTGAGACCTTTGCTTAATGTATGTACTTAGGTCTTGCATCTTTCACATTATGGTTCACACTTTACTTTTCAAGCTCCTCTCTGTTTATAAAGAAAAGATCCAATGGAACTAGGAGGGGAGGAAGACATTTTTTGGAAGATAAGCAGTTGCCAGCGTGTCTTTTCATGCTCCAGCAGTGTTAAGACTCTTACTCAATGGCCATGCCCTTAATGAGAAGTCTAACGACTTCTATTCCTTGTCTAAAGGATTCAGCATGTCACCAGTATTTATGAGGAAGCCTGCTGTACCTACAGGGACATTACGTACTTCAGTATATTTCAAGCTGAGAGATGCTGAAAATGGAGCATTAGTTTATCTACTTAGTTTTTCCTTAAACTGTTTCCCTTTCCCTCCCTCCTTTGTAAATAGACATGCCACATTTCTTGCAGCCTGAAGCTAGAGAAATGTCTTCAGGCCTGTTGCCAGATTTATTTTCCTCCAAATATCTACCAAATCACCAGAAGCTCTTATTAACTCAGTGAACTGAACCTTTAGACAGCAACTGTTACAGTCCCTCCTGGGGATTTCTCTTGCTTATAGTAAATAATTCAAAGTTTGGAGTTCTGTACACTTACTCATTTAGCTTGCTTTATTTTTCAAAGCAGTCAATGGATTAAGTGTTTTATAAGCAAAATGGCCATTTCTAACACTCAATAATTCTACTAAAAAAAAGTCCAGTTAGATGAATCTGGTTTCAAATGTCATCTCAGTTAAAATTCTTTTTCAAAATTGCTGAAGAGAAATTTTTTCCCTACCTTCCTGAGAGCATGGACAGTAGTTTAGATCCTAGTTTTGCAGACACATGCTGCCTTAGTCACTGAAAGTGTTGCCAATAACAGCAGTTGCATTGCTCATGCATGGAAACAAGCATAACCTTAAACATTTGCAAGATTTCTACCTTGATTCTTTATTATCAGTTTCCAGTTTATTCTCTGGCACCAACATCACTATTAAGTATTTTACTTATGTAAATGTGTCTGTCGGGATTTTAATTTAATCTGTCTCTTGTTATTTGCCAAGTTACCCATCCACCTTAAAGGTTAAAGATGTGAAAAAGAGATTCCTGGAAGTGTAGTGACAGTCAGCAAGATCGAAATTATTTAGAGTATAGAAATATCATTGGAATAATACAGGTCTTATAAAACTCAAATTGCCCGCCTCTGCCCCAACACCTTTACTATACCATTATTTCTCAAGGAAGTAGAAAGGAAATTCCCTCTATTTCTCCACTCCTACAAATAACTTGAAAAGCACTGTTGATGCATTTGCTCTCCAATCCGTCAGCAAATACTTCTAAAATGAAGTAAGTTCTCTGGATGAGTGCCACGACCATTTCTTGTACTAGTTACGCAAGCGACAATAAAACACTCAGATTCTCTCCTGGCCCATGTAAATGCAGAACTTCGTGCCTTGTGTGCACAGAAAACTCCATCACAGTCACACGTGGTTTTTTTTCCTCTACGGAATGGAAAAAGTGCTCTCCTCCTCTCTCATCCCTTCCCCACTCTCATCGCCATTTTCCTCTTGCACTCTCTTTTGGTCTATGGGAGTTGTATCCGTATAATTCTGCCTTCTGCCTTTGGTGAATAATTTTGACTATATATCGGTTGATGATCATGGGGGGAATAACACTCACATCACTTCTCTTCACCATTCCCTCCACCAGAGATTCCCCTACAATGACGTTTCGAGAAGGAAAGCAAAAATCAGAAAGAGTTTGTCCTTGACCTTCAAGGAGGTTGTCAGATGTGCAGCAGTATTTCACAGGAGACTGAATCTTGGAAGTCTAAAAGCTTTGCTCAATTTCATGCAGGGTTTTAACAGTCTTTCTAAAGAAACTCAGTTTTTTTTATTTTTATGCAATATTTAAGTTTTGCTTTCAGTAAAAGCTACCTGAAAAGTTGCTGAAAGTCAGTTATCATCCCACTTTTTTCAGTGTATCTTTATAGCATTTCATTCTGATTAAGTATCATGGGGTGGAAAATGAGTCATAGAACAGTACTGAACGATGTCTTAATATCTTCAGTTCTGTTTTTCTCTCCTGCTTTGACTAGAGTTCATCTCCCATTATAGTGTATCCACCAATATGTTTGTAACATTTAACACAGTTAGAATAGCTATGATGTACTTCGGGATACTGAAAACTGGAGCTGGATTTTCTATCTTTATTACCTCAAAGATTTCCAGCTCTTTTAAGTGCTTTTAAAACTGTCTTCTTATAAATGACTCATAAAATTCTTAACACGGTCAGTGTGTTCACTCCCTCTAACTAGGCTAACAAGAGTTAGCTACTGCTTGGAAGTTTTCTGGAGCAATATTTGTCATAAATATGATTCTTTCTCTTTGCACCTTCTTGCTGTACCCATCAATAATAGAACGCAAAAGCAGACTGCATCATTAATTTTAAATCTGATGAAAATAATATAAGATTAGAAGAAGTGATTACAATAAAAAATATCACAGCCAAAGATAAGTGTTAAACTAATCTTTTATGAAAGCTAATACACTAGTAGCAATAATTCAACACACTAACGTCCACCAGCTGAACACAGTACCGTAAATCAGGAAACTCTCCCAGGACTTCAGGATAAAACCAAGTGGAAGGAGCTTTTGAATGGAGCAGCTGTGCTAAGTGAGGAACAATTTCAGATGTTTGCGAGGGAAGGAGTGATACTTAACAAGTGGAGGCTGATTTATAATGGACTTAGAGCTAACCAGAGTCTCTGCTGGTTTCAGGCCCCCTGAGACATTTCATCTTGGGAAAATAATGGATGCCATTAAAAGCGGCTATTTATTGCACTGTAGCACATTTTACTTACAGGATTTGTAGTATTCCCTTGAGAAATCTCTCAAATATATTGGTATTCAGTGGGAATTATAATGATGTTTAATGTAGCAGATGCATTGTAAGGTACAATCTAAGGTGTAGGTCAGAGAAATCTGGCAAGGGAAAACCATAATTGTATACAGTCAGTGAATCTAAATGACACTCTAATTATAATGTAAGCTGTTATAATCCACGTGTTACTGCATGAAAGAGGCTTATTACTCACAAAAAGCCCATTATTCCCCTATACCCAAAGAATGGACATTGCAATGCAAAAAGCTATTCTGCAATGAATAGCGCTGTGAATCCATGGCTTTTAGCTGGATGTTATGAAAACATTTTAGTAATCACAAAAAAAATGATTATTGCCTTGATTACAGCTAATATTTCAGACAATTCTCATAGTTTTATTTTAAGCTCTGGGGACCACTAAATCTCCATGTGGTCTTTATGTAGCGTAATTTTTGTTTGTCACAAGACTTTCTCTTTGTTTTGTATGAGTATTTTTTATGTTTACCTTTAAGTGGTATCCAGCCATTACCAATATGTATGTGTATATGATTATAAAACCTTAACCAATAGATCAGAAGGAAGCTGTGCAAAAGCAGGAAGATGAACCCATAAGGCAGACCCAAGGAGGAGAGCGCAGAGAAGCTAGAGACTAGGTCACCTCTTACTTGTTCATACTGGGATACCCAGACCACAGAGCTTTCCAAAGGGAGGATTTGACTTCCAGTGACTGGCACAAGCAAATACAAATATTTTTGACATACTGTAATGGCTGTATGCACGGGAACAAGCAGCTCTTGCACAACATGCCATGTGAAGTGGGCACCTTTCCTGCTGTGTGCCCATAGATCAGTAGAGATGCAGTTTTCACATAATCAGGCCCACTAGGAGAAAACAGTCAAAAGCTCCACTGACTCTTCCATTAGCACGTGGATACAGAGTGTCCTTAACTGTACTTTTTACATGTAGAGAGACAGCAAATGAGGGGAAATACTCTGCCTAAGAGCTGGTTCATCAGTAAGCCCTTGCTACTGATGGTATTGAGAGCCATGCAGAACCACTCTGACGGAGAGAAGAGAAGAGTGGAAAAGCATTAGCGGTGGGATTGCATTTCTGCAGGAGTTAACAGCTAGGTCAGTGAGGAAAGTAGTCCCTGTGATAATTTACCACCCTCTCATAACACCCAGCCTTGTCAGGTCTCACACTATCCCAGCACAAGATGCAGGAATTTCATTTCCCATTTCCCAGTGGCCAGCCTCAGCATCTTCCTTACTGAACTAGCTTACACTTGGACTTTACGTTCACAGATTATAGATGCTTCAGTATACAAATCCTCACTGGTGAGAAAAATCCTCTCTGTTTTTAATTGCTATTAACTTCCTCACTATATGATGCTACATGCACATTAACCCTGACTGGCTACCCTGCTCCATAGCTGTGCTAGCAGACATATAGTTTTGCACGTGGCCTTCCTGCCAGGCAAGATGTTTGTGAAGGGCGTTAGGCAGTTGGGGCTTGTGCTGTAGCTGTTTCTGATGCTGTGACAAACATAA